CTGTTTGCGCATCGTGTGTGTGTGTGTGTGTGTGTGTGTGTGTGTGTGTGAGAGAGAGAGAGAGAGACAGCGTCACATCACAGTAGAGTCAGCTGTCTTAACCGCGTCTTGTGTACTGCATCATTACTGTGTCTGTTCCCCTTTCGGGCTTGAACTGATGGTAAAACTAATGACATTATTTACTGTCTTTAAATTTATTTTGAAAGATGAAGCTCGCGATTATGGTAAGGGGCGTTACATTTCCGACGAGTGCTTGCGGTGTTCGGCCAATCACAATGCACTGGGTCAGCTGGCCAATCAGAGCAGACTGCGCTTGTCGGAAGGAGGGACTTTGTAGAAAACGAAGCGTTTGCGAGAGGCGGGGCATGGAGGACCTACAATAATGTACAGTATTTGAAAAATAATGTGTTTTTTGAACATTAAAGCATGTCATCGTATTCTGTTACACCAAATACACTAAATAATGATATTTAAAAAAGCATCATATGACCCCTATGTATTTTCCCAAATGTAAAAATAGGAGTACTCAAATTAATCGTTCGGTTTGTAATGCGTACCGAACCGAAAGCCTCATACCGAACGGTTCAATACAAATATGTGTATCGTTACACCCCTAAAATATATATAAAATCTGCAATTTTAAAGTTTTATATTTCACCATCATTTTTTTTAATTTGTCATTTGCAATGCTTCATGGGATTGTAGTTCCCAGCCTTGTATCTTTGTCTTTTTTTCTGATTTTTAAATACTTTTCCTGTTTCAAATCAAAGTCTGTAATGTTGTGATCCTCCTCATAGCTGGTTGGTTTGGTTCCATAGCTTTTAACGCTTTAATTAAGACGTTTTTAAAAACCCTATGGGAAAAACAAATAGTAAAAATGCTTAAGGAACCAGAGTCGCTGAAAAAGTGGACAGCACTAATACACTGTATAGAAAAACCCATGACCAACAGATTTGATAGAACTAAGAGGAAAATGATGTTGATTGTAGAGAGAGCCATGTGGTTGTCATGATATTATCAAACGTGTGAATGCACCACCTAGAGTCAGACACACGTCACTGCAGTGGATTGAGACTCATCAAACCTGGTTAGACTATTAGGTTGGAAAATAAACAAATAGAAATCAGCACAAATTGAATCTGGTTTTCATCAATAGTTTGATAATTGTCAAGCATGACGAGGATCTCTGAGGAGTGTCGGTTCTGTTTGATCTTCCACATGTTAAATCTGTCATCAGCTGTGTGTGATGAATCTGACCTCAGTCTTCTTGCCTTCACTGCAGCGGATTCGCTCCACGGTGGATGAGAAGGAGCAGAAACAGCTTCTGATGGATTTAGATGTAGTGATGAGGAGCAGCGACTGCCCGTATATTGTCCAGTTCTACGGAGCCCTATTCAGAGAGGTGACGGAAACACACCACTCACACACCGTTTTTGTGTTTGCTGTTTGCTAACAGGACTGTATTTGTGTCTGTCTTCAGGGCGACTGCTGGATATGTATGGAACTAATGTCTATCTCCCTCGACAAATTCTACAAATATGTATATTGTGCATTAGATGATGTGATTCCAGAGGAAATATTAGGCAAAATTACATTAGCAGTAAGTCACTGATCTCATATATTACCAAAAAGCTTATGTATTGTAGTAATAATAATAATAATAATAATATTTTTCTTATAATAAAATGTGTAAAACATAATACATGCATATTATTATTATAACAAAAATAGTTTCATCAAAGAAAAACATTTGTTATTATTATTACTAGTACTAATATTATGTATGATGCCAACAATATTTTAGTTATAATGAAATTAATAGAAATTAATACATTATTATTATTATAATGATGATCATTTATATCAAAATAAAAAATATAAAATTTGTATTGATAGTAACAACAACAATAATAATAATGTTTATTATTATTGTTATTATAAATAATAAATATTATTATTAGGATATTATTATTATTATTAGCTATTATTATTATTATTAGCCTATTAGAAAATCTCTTTATTTCCTTTTTGTTCGTATTTCGATTTGTTGTTAAATCAAACTTCTTTTATTATATTAAGAAATATTAAGCCCAGAGTTGATTATTCAAAAATAACTGTTTTGATCTGATCATACAGCCTAAATGAGTCGTGGGTAGGGATGGGTATCATTAAGGTTTTAATGGTATTACTACTCTTATCGATACTGCTTATCGATTCTAATATTTGTTATTATTAGAACAAAATTTATATAACCTTTATGAAACATAATACATGTTGTTATTATTATTATTATTATTGTTGGTATTATACAATTATATTTTGTTATAATACAATTTGTTCAATAGTACATTATATATATATATATATATATATATATATATATAAAATTATTATTTTATAATAACTAGTAATTTTGTTATAATTAATGAAACATAATACATGATAATGATAGTAACAATAATACTTTTTATTAACAGTATATAATGTACTTTTAATAATTTTAACAACAACAATGATAATAGTAATAATTATTAATGTAAGTAATGATTATTATAAAGTATTATACTAATATTGTGTTATAATTAAAAGTATTAAATATAACGCATAGTATTACTAATATAATTGATTTTAACACTTGATACATATTTTTATTGTTGTTGTTGTAGTCACATTCACTTTTTTTTTTGTAGACTGTGAAAGCACTGAATCACTTGAAAGAAAACTTGAAAATAATCCACAGAGGTGAGTGGCCAAGCATCAACACATTTACAGCTGGGTGAAGCAATTACCCCATTAAATCAATTGTAGCTTTTTGAATACAGTTTTTGCAGTGAGATTTCTGAGTCTGAATTGTTCTTTTACTGTGTTTTTCAGACATCAAACCCTCCAACATTCTCCTGGATAGAAACGGCAACATTAAGCTGTGTGATTTTGGCATCAGCGGGCAGCTGGTCGACTCCATCGCCAAGACCAGAGATGCTGGCTGTAGACCGTACATGGCTGTGAGCATCATATTCTTCTCCTCTAATAAACACGATTTGTGCTTACAGCATATGATGATGTTACTGTGTTCTTGTAGCCTGAACGGATCGACCCCAGCGCCTCCAGACAGGGCTATGACGTCCGCTCGGATGTGTGGAGTTTGGGAATCACGCTGGTTCGTCTCTAGCCATTCTCTCTTCTACTCCCTCACATACATATATATAATGTAATAATTAGGAATGTCATGCGATTAAAATGAATAATTAATTGCACATCACTATGGGCTGAGAAATTACCCCACAATAATCATTTCAAGTCATAATTGTGTCAAATGTTGATAAGCATTACATAGACATTACAAACAAGCAGTTTTAGACAGAAATATTTTGATTCAACATAATGATAATAAATGGGTATTAATGCTTTTTTAAAAAATGATTATTGAAAAAAATAAAATGATACTTTCAAACTAAACTAAAGCGCCAGTAGGTGGCGGCGAGTCCCTCACTCAACCAATTCATTCATTCATTCAGAAATGAAGCAAGTGACAGTCTACATGAATGAGTCACTGAATCATTAACTCACTGGATTTGTTCAAAACTTCGTATTTAATCAGTAGCAAATCACTACTGGGTGTCGCTTTGAGACGCAAAACAGTTCTGCTATGGCTTGGATTGGAACTATTTTAATTTGCATAATTGAACAATACCGACAATATTGTGTCTAAAACACAATTTTAACATCTTGCTTATTGAACTGTTGTATAAATCAGTGTTTCCCAACCTTTTTTTAGTCGCGGCACGCTTTGGAAATTTTAACAAATTTGTGGCACCCTACAAAATTAATTTTGTCACAATATTTGAATTTCTAACTTATATGATTCTTTGAAAAGTATCGATATTCGGTACAGCAGGGAAGAACTGCAGAATGTGTCATATATATATATATATATATATATATATATATATACTGTATATTTTTTATATTATTAATTTTTTTGTCCATGGAGGCAATCAGTAGGCTAATTTCTAATGAGGAGACCAATTTATATGACAGATTTTAATGTAGGCTTTTATTCATATGTAAACATTGTTTAATTACCATTATAACTAGCTATCTCACAAAGTTTTGCTTACTTAAGAGTATTTTTGATTTTACAGTGGGGTAATTTTGTTGCAGTAGCACGAGAAAGCTTGATTTCAAACTTTGAATTGAATAAAAATATTACAAGTAAGCAGTCAGTAATAAAATAAGAACAAATAAAGAAATTAATAATGATAGCACAAATAAAAAA